GGGGGAGGGAGAGAGAGGCGGAGGGAGAGGGAGGGTCGCGGAGGTTGTACAGTAGAGAGAGACGCGGCGCGAACAACGTGACTGGAGAGACGTGAATGAATGCTCGAGTCGTAGAAAACAAAATTGAAGCTTCAGAAACAGTAAGAACACCTTAAACGTTTTCCTGCTTTAATAATCATACTGTTTTGTGTCCTGATGCAGGCGGGCTGCCTCCGCTGCTGCGGTCGCAGTCCATGTACAGCACGCCCGTGGTGCAGCGCGCGCTGTGGGGTGCTGCTGGCGGCGCCCGGGGCCCGCCGCCGCGCCGCAGCCGCACCGTCGAGGTGCTCGACGACACGGTGCGGATGCAGCTGTCCACCAAGGGGATGCTCCTCGGCCGCAGCGAGGACGGCGACGACGCCGCCGCCCTGACAGCCGCCACCACCCTGACGGCCGCCCCCACCGCCCGCGTCGCCGGGATGCTCACGCTCGAGCTCCCCGTCAACCGGGACCTGCCGCAGGGGAAGCGCGCCGCGAAGGACGCCCTGCTGGACGCGTCGGCCCTGGACGCCATCGTGCCGTACCCGGCGACGCCGTCCCCGCCCGGGTCTGCGCCGCCCAGCCCCGCCTACGTGCCGCTGCACAGCCGCAGCGCCTCGCCCGCCTCTCCCGCCACCACCCCGGTGTACGTCGTGCGCGGCGGGCCCCCCGACTCGCCGCCCTACCTGCCACCCAGGGTCGTGGAGCTCTACCGCAAGAACGAGGCCGTCCCTGAGCCCGGCTGGGTCTGAGGCGTATGCGTCGCTGCCCCGCAAAACACTTTTTGTTTGCGACCTTGTGATATATTATTTATTATTAAATTCGCGCGGGCTCCTGGTCAAAGACATTCCTCTCTGGCTCTAGTTAGCTCCACTGGCCAGAACTATACTGTGATCTCAGGACACACGCAACAACAAACAAAAAGCTGTGACATTTTGACCCGGCCAAATACTTTCCTCGCCCTCAAATTTTGAAAAAAGAGGAAATCAAACGATCTGCCGAGCCAAACGAGCACTCGTCGACTGATCTCTGCCTTTTGGCCAAAGCGAAGGTTGTGATGTTTACTAATTATAAAAGGGGCAACGCGCAGGTCCCTGTGGTGTGGTTGTCTTTGAACCATGTTGAACTAAACGTTCACTTGATTGCTCCAAACTTACCTGATACCTGACTTATCGTAGGTGTATGTGTGTGTGTGTGTCGTAGTTTAAAAGTGTTAAAAATCATCATCGAAATGATTCACAGTGTACACTGCACAATTAGGGTGTGGTTGTCTCGTACTACCTTCCTGGCAGTCGTAGTCTCTCTGTCTTATGTGTGTTTATGGCCTTGCTGTATTGAGTGTTTGTTTTAAAATCCGATGCCTCCTAACGACAAAGTTCGATCTTCAACGGCACGGTTACACAAAGTTCGATCTTCAGCGGCCCGGTTACACAAAGTTCGATCTGCGGCGGCCCGGTTACACAAAGTCCGATGTGCAGCGGCACGGTTACACAAAGTTCGATCTGCTTTTCGCCGCTCGCGGGAGTCGCAAGTTTAGACCTCTACCACAGTCTTGTTGCGATAGCATTCAGTTTTTTCTTTGGAGTATGTTCTTCTTTGATCTTTTACAAACATGAAGCAGTTTTTACTTTTTTTCTATCGGCAATATTTTCGAGAATATGAATACATTTAGGCTGCGCTGCAGAAACCGCCGGAATGTAGATCGAACTTTGTGTAAACCGGGCCGCCGCAGATCGAACTTTGTGTAACCGGGCCGCTGAAGATCGAACTTTGTGTAACCGTGCCGCTGAAGATAGAACTTTGTCGTTAGGAGGCATCGAATCGTTATACTATACTTCTCTGTATCGAACAATTGAAAAACACCGACGGTTTCAATTGTTCTCCATCGCTCTCTAGCTTTGTCTATTTTCCGTCGTCTACTACTTTCGGCCAGAACAAAAAAAAAGAAAGAAAAGACAACAACAACATCAACAACAACAACAACAACAACAACAACAACAACAACAACAACAACAAACGAAAACAAAACATAAAACCTTTGCACTATTTTTTCCTTGTATTTTTCTATTCCTTGCCTGTGTGCCAAAATAAAAAAAGACATCTTGTCGAATTTCCTTATGAGGTTGTATTCGCGTCTTATTTACCCCCTACGTGTCCGCAGCCGGGGGTACCACATCGACGAACGCAAGGACAAATCGAAGCGACCTCGAGACAAAGTGATCAGACAGCGTCTCCCCGCCCCGCCCC